CCTTTCTCAGACAGTCAAAGACATCTTGCCCTGACCTAGAAGTGTATGACTGCGAGGCATCTCCAGTTGGGATGGTGCTGATTGGATCATATTGATGGACATGTGGTTGCTGGGCAGGGACTTGGACTTTCATTTGGGTGGGGAAAACCTGGACACTTTCAGATTCGGGTTTTCCCAGATATGCCAATATGACAGCTCTAATAAAATGGAATTTTGAGGAATCTCAAGCCTCGGAGTCTTCTTTCATTGGGGGTGTTACTTGGAACCCTGACAATGGTGCTGCAGCCGGTTCTAAGTGCAAACCAATTGCCAATTTCCAAAATCACCATCAACTGATCACAGGGGTGCTGGAACATCAACATTCTGAGAGCTGTTCATTAAAAACATTGGTTCAACGCCATCCTGACTTTGAACACTAACTGTATGAATAGTCATACATTGAGGGCTACTTTTATATAAGAAGCCACTATGCTATCTAAAGTCATAGGGGTTCAGATAGGACCTCTTTAATCGTCTTTCAAACACCTTCTTGCCACAGAGAAAATGTTGCTTCTGTTTGCCAGATATTGGGAAACTATACATCTGTTCTTACCATACAATACTTTTGAAATGCTTTATGGCCTATAATTGTATTTTGGTCTTCTTGTCTCTGAGATGCTTAAAAAAAAAAGAGAAAACCATTTGGTTGCATTAGCATTATACTGTATCCCCTCCCCACCCACTAAAACCTGGCCTTGTACCTGGGCATAGGGCTTGTAATATGTTAAGGAGCCCTTTTGGGCTTTACTGTTAGATGTTTAACTATAACCTGCTGAATGTATGTATTGTTTGGGTGTTTAATTGCTTTAACTGTTATGTAGTTTTAGTACTGTAAGCTGTCCAGAATCATTTAGCTGAGATGGGGAACAATAGAAATTGAATGAATGAATGAGTGAGTGAGTGAGTGAATCAATGAATGATAGAAATATAGTAAGTTTCCATAATCCTGAAAAATGTTCCTTTCTCTTTCCACACTTTTTATTTATTATGCGAGCATGAAAACTGAATGTGTGTTTTGGAAATGAGAATGTGAAAAGAGTATTTATCAAGAAAATATGTTTCATTTATAGCATTGGTTCAGGTTGTCTTACAAGTCAAGCAATGAGCAGTGAAGCCTTAATATTTCCTCATTCTCTCTTTTGATAAAACAATTATCACCTCTAACCTGAAAGCATTGTAGCAAATCACTTTTTGTTCTTATAGAGCAGAACCTGCTACCTTTAATACAAGGAAGTTTGATGTTGTTGCTGAATTTCCTATTTATCTATTCTAATAGTGGACATGATTGGTTTATTTATCAGCTGGGTAGAAAAATGGGGCCACCTACAGACAAGTGCTAGGAGTTTTCACAAACACAGAGGACATCTCAGGATTGATGTATGAATAATTCGTTTGTTCTGTTCTTTCTCCAGGACAATCTATGCTGTCTAAGGACTGAAACGGACAATTCCCACTAGGGATTTTCCATCATATTCTCCTGAAATTTTTCTATTTTTATTCATCAAAAGCCAAATAACGTTATGAGTCTCTTCTTCCAGGTCAACTTGAATTCTGAATGGTATACATTCCTCCTGTATAAGAAGGTTTTTCTATCTTACATAAGTTTGCTAAATCCCTATCAAGTAAATAAAAAATAAGTAAAGCAATTCTTTTGAAATATGCAAGAAAATTCTCAAGTACATGAGCATTTTTAAACAAAATCCAGAAACCACTCAGCTAAATGAAGGTTAAATGTATTCATTGCCCTGCAGGAGGCATGGGATATAGAAACATCATTTGAAAATAATAGGGCAAAGGTGCAAAATAATTAGTCTATCACAGCTCCTTACACACTCTGATTCCTATTCCCCCTCCAATAGTCACCAGTGCCTGCAGACTGCAGTATATCTGCAGATCTCTCTTGATTGCTACCAAATTCCGCATCTTTCCTAATTTGGTAGAGTATAAATTGTTATTTTTTTTTCCAATCCCGAGACCAGCATGTTGCAAAACAAAGCCCCAGCCTCATTTTCATTTTTAAGAATTCCTATGGTAATTTTATCAAAACATAGCTAGCTGCTTGGAACAGGATTTTCTTTGAAAACACTCTTTATCAGAGAGAGATTGAGAGAAAGAGGGAGGGAGAAAGAGGGAGTGAAGGAGGGGGTTGGAGGCAATATCTTGAAAGTCTAAAAGGGATGCTAAAGAAGCAATAAGCATTGGTAGAAAGTATAAAAGTATTTTAACACAGTAGGTTGGTTTCATCAGGAAAAAAATAAGATAAATTGAAGAAGTATCTTTATATTGTGACATGTGTTAGCTTGTTTATAAAATCTGTTCCTTTGTCTGGGTTGGTACATTGTATGCACAGCAGGAACATCCTTTTTTCTGCTTTTGCTTTTAAATCTGGGAATTATGCCTGTACAAAGCAGCTCTGAAATTGGTGTAAAGGAGCAATTTGATTCAAGTTATCCTGAAAGGTGCCTGTACTGAGGCGCTCAGCTGAAGCATCAAAGGCTTTTTCCTCTTGCCAATCTATTTTCAAGAAGTGCTTTCTGAATATGCATACCCATGTAGAACTGAAGGCCCTCAAAGTGGCCATCTGGATTTGAATCATGTTTTAATCATGATTTTATAAAGCTTAATAGTTATATGCCCGGTGTGTGTGTACTTATGCTTTCACATTAGTGGGGGAGGAGCATTCCAGTTTGCCTTCAATGTCTTCTGTGAAATAAATGGTGGGAAATATGAAAGGTTATTTGAAGCTCAGACCTACCTCTACCCTTACTCCCAATTACTTGGCTAATATGTATTTCTGTCTTCTTTGAAATATATATTCAAACAGAAAATTGTAGCTCAAGTGAATAAAATTAGGGGCTAAAATGTGCAAGAATTTTTTTCCAAAATTTTACTTTACCTCCCAAACTGTCTTATATACCACTGAAGATAAGTATATCCTTACAGCCATGCACTTTTAATCTAAAAGTAGTTTGCTTAATTTAATCCTTTGTTCTAAAAGAACTGTTTTATGTATCCCAGCTCCAAAATTTCAGCAGTCAGCATTTTTAATGGACTAATTGTGCTAGAGTGCTAAACTAATATGTGATTGGGTAAAGATGAATCTACTATTTAAACCCCAGAGTGCGCAATTTCACATCTATATTATTAACTGCACAGATGGGACAGGGAGCAAAGGAAATTATATATTTTCAATATATATGATGCTTTGGGAGAGCCCAGTTTGTTTTCAATCTATTTCTGTCTTGGGTTTTCTAGGTTTTACTCTAGAAACTATGGTTCATATTAAAATCTATCTATCTATCTCTATAAGAGAACTCAAGTCATGTGAGTCTTGTTTCATACAAATGAAAGATGATTTAAATAACTGCAGAACAAAGTATCACAAGAGTATTACTTGGAAGATGCTGATTTGCCCTTCAGGTTCATAAATATCCCTTGGAACTGTTCCCCTAATTAAAAAAAGAGGCAGAGAAAAATCTACTTATAAATTAGTATGCAATCATTATTAATACAACTATTTTCCTGCGTATGCAAGTTTAAATGCACTAGGGAAAGCTAGTCCAATCATAAGATATTTTTTGAGACACTGTAAGCTCCTTTGAGGCAATGGGTAGAGCAAAGGAAGAAGAGGAAAGCAATCCCAGAAAGGAACATAGGATTCCTTTGAACCTATTTCTCTGCTTAGCTTGTTTAAGATCAACAGGACAGTTATATTTAAAAAAACAACAACAACCAAGGGCTAGGCAGTGCAGAGTTAAAAAGAATGCAGCAGTTCTTCCCACCCTCAAGTAATCAGATCCAATTCACCCTTCCATCTATCACCTACCGATTTAACCAAAGCCTTTGGCAGTATCAGAGAACATCTGAGATTTCCACATAAATCTCCTGGGAAAACGCCTACTTAAGAATCTAAACACTGTATCCACCAATTTAAACACTGTACTCGCCATAAAGTCATTGTAGTCCTTTGGGACGAAGCCCTGAAAAGCAATTAGATCGGCCCAAACGAAGAGAAAAACTCTCGTCCTCTTCACTGCATTCTCTTTGTACCTGTTAGCTTAAAAGTCTCACTGAGACAAACCCGTTCCTGGTCATCTAGCCACAATGATTTTGGCATCGCTATCCTCAACTGGATGCACCAAGGATTACAGCCGCGGCGCGCTTGCCTTGAGAATTTCCTGCAAGCCGGCGCTTACTCCGAGGTAGCAAATGCTGCCTTCTGCCCGCACCGCACGTTTCTGACAAGAGATCGCAGTCTCGCCACGTTGTGGCCTCAATCTCTGCTAAGATCACTTCCCCCCCCCCCCCCCGCGCCCCAGGGATCAACAAAATCCAAAGCGATTTCCATCCCGGGGATGATCAAAGTTCCCCTCCTCCACCACCACCACCACCCGTCCTTTCTCTCCGGAATAAGGCGCCCTTCAGCCGGATTCGGAGCCTCCAGGAGGGCTGCATCCTTTGCCCTTTTCTGGGAGTAGTAAGCTCCCTTGCAAACCGTGGGAACTTTACTGCCATCAATACGTCCTTAGAATTTCGCCGGACCTACCGCCATCGCTCCCACCCTGCCCAAATCCGGCGACCCTCTTTAACCTCCTCAAAAGGTTCCTTCCCTGCCCGATCTTTCCCAGGGCTTTTCGTTCCAGCCCGCCAACCTCCGGCCGATCTCAAATCAAGACGCGCCTCAGGTTTCCATTCCGCATTTTCTCCTGCCTGTTCCCCCCACCCCCTCCCGCGGTTACTTTCAATGCGCCCTTGCCCCGCTATACAGTCAAATCGCGACGTTCCCTTTTCCCCCCCTCTCTTCCCTCGCTGGCTATTTTAGAAAAGCTTGGTCGGAAAGCTGGCAAACGGCTCCGGGCAAAAGGAGCGGGCACTTTGAGCGAGTGCAGGGGGCGTGTCCTCCCTGGCTGGCCCCGCCTCTTTCTTTCAGCTTTCGGTCTTGGAGCGCCGCTAGGCTGCCAGAGGAAAGAGCCACCTGCTTCGGAGCGGTCGCGATTGGCGCCTCGCTCGCCCGCTCTCTCGCTCCTTCGTTCGTGCCTCCCTCCTCGGTCGCAGAAGAAGCCGCCAGCGGCTGCTTTACCCGAAGCCTCCAACTTCGGCTTCTACTCCCACTTTCATTGGACCTCGTTGGCTGGAAAGTTGCGGAGCCTCCGCTGCGGTTCCTCTTAGGAGAAGAAAGCCGCCGCCGCCGCCGCCGCCGCCTCTCTCTGGCGGGGAAAAGAAGCCCGCGCCCTCGTCTTTCGTTCCTTTCTTCGGGAGGAGCAGCGGCCGAAGTCGCCGTTCGCCTGGCGGAGAGGCGGAATGGAGATGCCCTCCGCCGTCGCCTCCTGCTTTCCTTGCCGGCTGCAGCGGCAAACGCCGCTTTTCTTCCTCTTGGGGTTGCTGCTTTCTGCCCTTTCTCTGCGGCCAGGTAAGGGAGCGGTTGGCGCGGAGCTCAACTTGCGCCCGGCCGGGGAACAGGCGCGCCTTGCGCGGGAGGGGGACGGGACGCGGAGAGAAAGCGGTTGAAGGGTTCTGGCTCTTCGGCCTCTCGGTCCTCCGTTTTCTTTTGCTCTTTCTCGGCTGCCTGGAACTTTAGTGTGGGGAGTAGGACGAGCCGGGTTGCGGCTGCAGGTGGCTCTTTGGGGAGGTCTGGCTGGTTCTGGATCCGGTAATCGCGGTGCTTTTTTTCCCCTTCGGAAACCGGCTTCCTGCTCCGGACGAAGCTCGGCGTTTGTGTTCTTTTAGAAATCGAGCGCCTTATCTTGTGTGGGGCGAAGGATGGGGGTGGGGGCGGATTGATCAGAACCGATCGGGCAAAAAAAAAAGCGTGTGGATTAGATTATGATTTCCACCCACCCCGTATGCTGCAGCACCTCCGCATGACTGCAATCCCTCACTTATTAAACTCATGGAGACTTTGGTGGAAAAGTGGAGACCGTCATCTGTGTGGACCTGATGCATCCTAGTCAAGGAACCTTTGAAAATGATTCCCTCTCTTTTTAAAATTATTATTTCTTTTTCGGGTTGGTCTGCCTCTCCTACCCCCCCCCCTCCTTCCTGGCTTAAATCGCGTTTAAGATCCCACTCTCGTGTATTCATTTGGGAGAGAGAGAAGCCTGTTGATCTTGGCCAGTTTTATTTCTGACCTCATGGGCCATTAAACATTGAGCCTTTGATAGATGGGACTGCCCTGTTTTCAATTCAAATGTAAGAATCGTTAGCCCTTTTCCCTCCCTTGCATTGTACAAATGACAAAAAAAGTTATTTATTTATTTTCCTTAATTTGCTTGGGTTTTATAAAAAGGAAACAAAATGTGCCTGCCAAAATGTTCCTTTGAGTTCTCTGGGAAGCTGAGCAAGATTTGTAAGGTACAGAACAGCCTTTTATCTCTGGTGGGTTTCTCCTGCTCCTTTTAAAAGTTGCCTTACTGGTTGTGCAAGAGAGAGCAGAGCAAGGTGACTTCATCTGCTCTGCACATATACGCACACACCAAACACCAACAACCATGTCCTTTGGCTCAAAGAATCACAAGTACTATGTCTGTAGCGGGGGTGGAGGGAGGCGAGGGGGGGTAGGGTTGAGTGAAAGATCATTCAAACCAAAGGCTAGTTGAAAGTTCAGAGCAGATTTGATTTCAAAGGATTAAATATCATTATAGGAAGCCCTCTAGATAAAATTATCATGTATACAATTCAATAAATGGCTCCCTAGATTGGAATAATTTTCTGCTGTTTCTATTCTACATCTATATAGTTCTTTATGGACTTCGCTTCTCTGCCTGTAATGTGCACATCACCTTCATGGATGCTGTCCAATTCATCGTTGTACTGTTTTCAGAATTTTAGAGACAAAATATATATAGTCCTGTTATGGATGGTTGAGTCTTTACGAATGACAGGTGGTGATATCGAAAGATTAAGTCAGTTCTTGGCTTGCAGACACTTGGAAAGTCTTCAGGCAAAGAAGTGTGAGATCCACCTGGAATATTCTTCTTAGTGTTGTAAGATCAGTTAGGATCTTGAGAACAAGCACGGGTTTTGCATTAATCATCTCCATTTTGGAGCAAATTTACTCAAATATGATAGAATTACTAATGAGTGTGATTTTTCCACTGAAATTTTGGCTTGATTCCTATTGTTTCCTAAGCTTTTTAGGAATAAAGTAAACGGGACTACAGAAATAGCCTGCATAGTTCTCTTTCAAGTTTCTCTCCGAATCTATTTGTGTATTAGCTTGGACTGGAACAAGAGAAGCAAACTGCAAACTGTATTCTTCCTACACTGTGCAGCTTCTTATTATTCTTGTAGAAAGAGCGTCAGCCTGTGGTGACATTTTGTATTACTTGAAGAGAGCAGCTTTGTGTGTCGGCCTTGGAATGAATACAGAACCTTTGTAGTGGATTTAGTGTTTTCACATTTGGAGAAACCCCTTATTAACTATATAAACGCCATCTTTTTACTGGGATACAGCAAATAATATTGCAGTATTTAATTATTGTGCCTTTAAGCAGCAGTGAGGTTGCATTTCTAAGAAAACTAGTTGCAGTGCAACATGAAAAGACTAGGAAAGCCTGAATTCAGGGGTTTGATTAAGAATGCAGTTTAATTGATGGTTGCTAGAGAGTAAGACCCACAGTGGGATTTATCTAATGAAAAAACGTGCCACAATATAGGATGGCGTAGATTGTGCAGTCCCCAAATAAAAGTATTAAAAATAAAAAAAGGAATAAAGTTGCCAAAAATGTTAAATATGCCTACTTAATTATTTTTGTGTCATCTCAAAACCATATACTGTTGAGTGCGAAAAATCATAGGACTTTCTGCTTTGAATTTTTTTCCTTAAACAAGATAGAAATCCTTAATAGTTGTTTTTGCCTCAAAGGAAAATTTTCAAGGAATCAAAAATGCCATTTGGCTGAGATAGAAACCATTATTAAAAAGTACGTTGGATTGGTATCAGTGGCCTTTACCAGTGGACTGAGGCTAGTGTTGCTATATGGATGCAGATAGACACACGGTTATTTGTGATAACTATAAGCCTGATAGCTGAAATAGGTTTTCCTTTCAAAAATATAATTTTGGAAATAAGTCATTCCTTCTTCTAATGTTATACATACCGTACATGCCACTGAAGTCTAAGTTAATGACAGTTGGCCAGCAAAGGCATTTGGAAGTGGTGGTGGATTAGTCCAATGAAAACATAAGCTGCTGTGGAAATACAGTACTGTAGAAAAAACATTAAAATGAGAAAAATGTAAGAATTTTACATAAAGCTGTGCACCCATTCTGATGTTTGCCATCCCAGGCTTACTACTGTAGAACTGGAAAATGTGGGGCACAATTACTAAAGTGGTCATGGTCATTGAGTGGGAGAGTAGTTCAGAACGAAGAAAAATATAACAGAAACATATTAAAATTGCCAAAATACTAGACTGACCCAATGTAGGGAAAGAGGGAGAGAGCCAGTACAATTGTATTGTTTTTCTGATAGTTGGCTGGTGGAATTTGATACCAAATTTCTCAGAATAGGACAGTACACTTATGTACAAACTCATGAACATTTAGGCTATTAGTGAAACTAGTAAGTGGATTGTAAATAAATAATTATAATATTTATATTATACCTATGTAAATAATTTATCCCTACTATAATATCAATTAGATACTGTTGGCCACTATTTTAATAAATGTGAGATTTAGAACCATTGAATTGGGGAGCATTAACATGAAAGTCTGTAAATCAATCTGTAGACCTTTTAAGATAGAGATAGAAAACCTATGGCTGTACAATTATGCCCAATTGATTGATTTGATTCATTAAATTTATATAGCTGTTACAGAAGTGCTGAGAGTTATAGTTCTTTATGTAAAAAAAATCCACTGATTACTTATTCAGAAGTTAATAATCTGTGTGCTGTGACATATTTTCATCTAGGTTGATGTAAGGTACCATGTAAACAATGGTGGGATTCAAATAATTAAAGAACCAGTTCTCTGCCCTAATGATTTCTTCCAACAACCAATTCATTGTTCAGAAAGTTAGCAACCGGTTCTCCTGTAGTGGTGCAAACTGACTGAATCCCACCACTGCATGTAGATGGGCATTTTATAGAGGGAGTTAGTTTAGTGATTGGGCATGATTTATACAGGGAGCTAGTTTAGGTTAGTGATTAAAGGAACTTATCTAGAAGCTAGAGATTGTAAGTTCTAGCCCTGTCTTTTAACTCCCTCAGAGCTAGAAAATAGCAATTGCAAACTACCTTCAAAACATGAATACTACATAAATTTGTTCATTCAGTTAACAGAGTCATGATTAACTTGAAGGCACCACCAATATATCATATATATAATAAAATGAAAGAAATTTGCACGTTACATATTTATCCTGAAAAGTGGATTTTTGTACTTTTTAATCTTTTTGCAAGTAGGATTACTTTCTCCATTTAGGGAGATTTGTTGTTCAGAAACATCTGGAAAGTCAGTGATTGCCATGTTAATTATTGCTGTACATTTTTGATCCAATATTGTATATCAAACTTTGGTAGGCAGATTACAGTGTACCTAGACGACATCTCACTCTCAGGCTTTATCTTCAGTTCATTTAAAATATCTTCTTTTCTGAGAGTATTAGAAAACATACTTTTTGGTAAGTAGGAGAAATTTTCATTTCTCAGTGACGGACCGATATTTTATTCACATTTTATTGTATCTTTGACTTATTCTAAGAAATGTGAATGAGTTAGTGAATGACTGAAGTTAATCTGTATCAACCAGCCTCTGGGGTTCACCACTTAAATTCAAAATTTTATGACAGGATATTTTACAGTCATTCCAAAAAGAAACAGACTGTGAAACATGTAATAGTTAAGTGAGATCATATCCACCTAGATTGTCGATGGATTTGCATAAAGTTTTTATGCACACTGTTAGTTAATAAATGTCCTTTAACTGACCAGTGTGTAATTCCTATTCACACTTATTCTCATAGATATTAATCCAGCATTGTAATGGCAAAATTCTCTGTTGGATGTCTACTTAGTTTATGATTCATTTCATTTTCTTTGTCTATTTACATGTTTTTACAAAGCATCAGTAACTAGTTGCTTAGTATTTTTTCATTTATAACAAATATATTTCCCTTTCCTTATTTTTATTAAAAGTGATGAAATAGTGAAAAGAGAAAGGAAAATTTCAGAATATAATTAACTCGTGTTTGGAATGGTCCTCCAGTGTTTACTTAAAAGCACCAAAGTAAAGAAACTCTATATTGTTCCCCAACTAGATTTCAAAAAATAATATATTTATTTTATTCTCTCCTTTAAAATTATTTCTTCTTTATTGATTTAATCTTGATTTCAGTCCTATAGCATGTTCTCATTTTGATGTTATTTAATCTAATTTTTACTAAATTGATCACCTTCCATGAAT